TTTGCTCTCATTAAAACAACTTTAATTTAGTAATTTTGATCTTTCAGAACGTTTTCCTGCATTAATAACTTCTCAGATCATCCAGGCCAGTTATAGCAGGCCGACTCAAACTGCTTCAAACAACCAGCTTCAAATATCCAAAACATTATAAAGAAACCTGGAAACATTGTGCTGTGAGGTCAAAGGTCAAGCTAAATACAGGCAGCAGCACCATTCATCAGAGACAGAGGAGACCAAAACAGTCTGGACGATCATCAGGCTTAATGACACGAACTTTGACCTTTCGGATAAATGAAGGATTAATTCCTGCAGCTAATGAAAAGCAGCAGTATCTGTGTTTATCCATTAAAATGCTTTTAGGCCATTTGCCAAATAAATTCAGATTTCTCTCACTGAACCCCAGCAGATTATTCGTCTCCGATCCGACGTTTCAAACGTAATCAATAATATTGATTAAAAAACTGGAGAGAACATCTCCTCTGACGCTTCTGGAGTGAATTTAGTGGCATTAGGAAGTCAGGTGAGAGATAATGAACTGATCAGATCAATAAACCTCACAAAAACTTGATCACTTCTCACCAACAGAATCGTATCGGCTCAGAATGAGAACAGATAAAACGGCTTCAAAACGAACATTTAATCTGATCCAAATCAGACACTTTCAATTAAAAGCAGCAGCTGTTACTGTGAAAAACTCCGGATTAATCATTTTTGATCTTCAGGATGATGAGGATTTCCTTCTGGTTCAGGAGAAACCCATAAGAGGAGCAGCTGTGAGCTGGACCAGACGTTTCATGTCCACCTCCAGCGTTAGCGGCGGCGTTCGGAGAACAGCAAATTGCTTTTCTTTGAGAAACAATCGTGGAAACCAGTAGTGACACAGAAACGCAGAGCGATCCGGCAAACTCATTTCCTCTGAGATTACAGGGCGAGGAAATCTCCCCGACAATCTGCAGCTAACCAGTACTATAGTTAGCGATTAACTGGATTCAAAAAGCTGGCACAGCCTCAAGATGTCTCGCATTAGAAATGCATTAAAAGATCCAAATAAATTCCTTTTTTAGGGAAGAAAATAAACATTTAATTCCCTAAAATGCAGTAACAGAATCCATTTAGTGTTCAGTTGATCATTTGTAGAAAATGATGCATCTGCAGCTAAAATAATCCAACTAACATGCAAAAAGCTCGAGTTAAATGATAAATGTTGCTGGAGGATAAATAGTCCCAGAAGTTATTGTGATAATGTTGTTTTGAGACCATGTGGAAGTTATATAATGGTAATAATAATGTAAGAAAGATCAATAAATCCACTGGAACTGGAAATATTTAAATAGCCAAAATAAATAACAATTAAAATGAATTATGAACTGTAAACAAACATGGCCTTCAGAAAAAAGATCTAGAATATAAATTATGCAAATGGAAATTATTGTGCTTGCTTTAATTTAACATGGGTTTAATTGATTTATTGCGACGGGCCTCTACAGGTCGGCTCTGCTGATTATTTTATGGATTAAATGATGACTAATTGTAGAGCAAAACGTGCTCAACAGATCATTATTATTATTATTACAGAGTTTGAACCAGGTGACGATGAAGCTGCCACTAGTTTTAGGTTGAACATGTTGACAGAAAAGTTTTTTTCTCTGTAACTGAGCCTGCAGACTGATATGTATCCGATTTAGTTCCACATGTGGAAGTGACTCTAATCGGGTTTTTTGGTGGTGAAAGTTAAAAAAAAATTAATATTGGGTGAATGTAGCCCATTTCTGGGAAGGGAACATACAACACAATAAACTTGGTTTCTAAAGAATAGACATGTTTTAAAACATAAACAGAGTTGTACTTTTAAATCCATTATTTTCAATTAGATTCAAAACAACTGCCTCTATTAATGCTAATTGTATATTTTTAGTACAGTTTTGAATTTCTGCAGAGTCTGGACTTTCAGCTAATGGACTCTTGAGTCTGTATACTCCAGTTACCGATTAATCAATTACTAAATTAGCTGATTAATGAAATAATCACAATGAATTGGATTAAGCCGTGAGAACGTGACACCTCTGTAAAAACCTCACAGTAAATGTCTGAAAGCCTTTACTGAGACTCACGCTGTATGTGAATGAGCTGCTTTGGCATCTTGTAGTCGCCGGGGTAGAGGGAGTCGTAGTAGGTGATGTTGCTCTCCGCCTCGGGGACCGGGATGACCATGTTGTCCCGCTTCTCGCCGTAGACCTGCTGCGCCGAGATGGCCCGCTGGAGATGGTGTTCCTGTGGAGAGAGAGAGGGAATAAAGAGGCTGCAGAATAAAATCAGCTAAACGCAGTCAGAACCATCTTAGATACTAAAGTATCTGATCGCAACGGTGCAATTTATGTTTAAAGTAAGAAAGCGATTTCCAATCTACATTCCAAAAACGTTTTGTGACAGAGAGCAAGGGTTTATAATTTAAAGACAAGGAAATATTTTTTAAAAATCTATTAAAGTAACAAAAATATTTTTTGTCCATCAGTGTGTAGGGCAGATTAATAGATCGGAGCTTAAATGAAGTACAAATATAAACCATCTTAAAAACAGTCCAAAAAGGAGCTTGTTGGAAAATATGTTGAAAATGTACAAAAATGCTGTTGATTAAAAAATTATATATAATTGTCCATTTAAGGATGAGAATGTGAGGTTTAAGTGTCAGTGTAGGAATAATTTAAGAGTTTATCTGGAGATTTAAACGCTGCAGTGAGTTGATGAGCATGAAAGAGGCAGGAAATCATAACGTCTTGTATCTGCTGCTGCACGTCAATGGGCACGATTATTTCCCGTTGTCACTTTGTCTATTTGAAATAAGTTGGAGGGACCAAAACGGTGCTGCATGGAAACATTTTCTGCTCCTTCCTAGGAAAAAACAAAAAAACACATCCTCACCACCCACTTCAGTGGATTCTTCAGTTTCTCCCTAAAAAGTTCCATCATGTGGGATCCTGTGATCTGCTCTCCTGTCCATTTAATTCTCCAAAACAAATAGTCTTTTCCAGCTTCTCCACACCAACAACCAAAAGCATCCGACAAATAAATCAACCAAGATTCACAGAGTTAAAGTCACATTTTCTCCTGGATGTTGCAGGTCAAATATTACAAACTAAGAGCTCAAACTATTTCTGATGTGAAAACAAGCAGCAGCATGTGTGGCTCTGTGTTTATTGAAGACAGAAGTTAGTTAAATTAGTGATTTAATAAAAAAATTTAATCAAATTAATTGCAGTTTCTGTCAAAATAACCAACATTTTCAATTCAGAAACCCTTTCTGCTGCTAAATTACTGAATATACATACATATGAACTGGATAACATTTATTTTAATCAGTTTTTTTTAAGATTCTTCAACCATCAGGTTGAGGCAAAGTGTTTCAGGAACTCCTGATAAGTCATGCACCTTCTTTAAAAATAAGGATTGTGATGCCAACATCTGCAGCATGTTTAGCACTGAGATGCTAGTTTAGGTTTGAATAGCTTCCCTAATAAGCTAGCTCCTTTTAGCACAGAAATAGTCTTTCCCAGCATCCCATCAGATCAATTTTGAAGCAGAAATTAACCCTCCGTGGGTCAAGAGAACCAGCTTTGATGTCCATCGACCTCGTTGTTGGTTTGTCAGATTTATGGGTGCACCAGAAACACAATAGAACGGGTCCAGCTGGAATATTTTAGATGTAAAAAAAGAAGTTAAAATCTATGTAATTAATCAAAACGAACATGTCCTGACTAGTTTAGAAGTATAACTCCATTTATCCATTTAAATCTCATTTCCTACTGGACTCAAAACAACCTGCAGAACAGGTTTACTCTCCTGTGCATTGAACAAAAAGGTTAAACTAGAAATAAACCACAAGCCAGAATCAGCCAGGAAAACCTGATAAGTGCATCTGTTGTTCAGCAAGGACGTTCACATCCGACTTAGTTCAAATGCTTTTGCACAAATTAAGATTATTTTACTTATGGAAAAAATGTCTTGCCATAAGTGAAATAATCTGCCAAAGGAACTAGTAATTTTTCTTCAATATCAAGGAATTATTCACTTAAAACAAGCTCCTACTTCTTGCTGAAAAGTTAATTGTAAGTTAGTTTTATCTTATGTGAAGTGTGCTAGGACATTTGCACCAGAAACTAGACCAAAATTGCCTGGTAAGATTTTGTGTTTTTGCAGTGCGCTCTTCTAGAACTGTTTTAAAGGACCGTCCTAAAATATTGTGAGGACTGAAAATGGCCCAGGCCACATTTTGGACCTGGAGAGAACAAATGTGGAGGGAAAGTCCGGAGCGTTTTCCCTCCATAACTGCCCATCATCCAGCTCATGTAGCTGCCACCTGCTGCTGGGCGCTGAGAGGGAAACGGCCGGCTGGTTTGAACGTTTCCAGTCGGGTTTAACCGCTGAGCCTTTAACTCCGGCTGGCTGTTTGCCAGCAGACTGAGCCGCGTAGAGACTCCTCCGCTGGGAGGAGGTGTGTGTCTGTTTGCCCTGAGGCAGACCCAGACAAAGGAAGTTGGGAGTGAATGAGTCGGCGTTTAACAAAGTTCGACCTCTTCATCAAACACCGACATGCCAGAGTGAAGTAGAAACTAACTACATTTACTCAATTACATTTGCCCAAGAAATTTTTAAAAAAAAAAAAAAAAAAAAAAGTATAACTTTTAGGAATATCTTTACTACGCTGTGCTTTCTACTTTTACTTTTTTAAAACTTCTGGATTTTCTGAATGAAATGAAAAAAGAAACATGTTTTAACCAACAATTCCCCAGACACACACACCTGCAGTTTTAGTTAAAGTTTTATAAGTTTTTTTATTGAAAGTAACTTATTTGGAAAAATGTTCTTCGGCCTGATTTCGTTATTGATATGAAATAGTCATTTTTGTCCTTAAAAGTACCAAAATTTCCACTTGGCTTTATACGTTGGTCTGTCTGATCATGTCACTTACAAATATTAAATGATTGATAATTTGATCAGTTACTCAGTACTTGAATAGAGTTTGTATCTTTTTTTTTTAGTAATTTCTTGGACAGCTACTTTCTACTTTTAATAGAGTACAATTGAGTACAATTTTTGGATCCTCTGCCCACCTCTGACTAACACTAAAGTCGTGCAAAAACAAACCTGAGGCGAGTCACCAGCTGATACAGAGAGTTAACCAACACCAACTCCAACATATTTCCACCTGGAATCTCAAACCTGCATCTTTGGTCGCATTTCTGCAATTACTCAACCAATCTGGCATCAATCTGCTGCTGGCTGAGGTTTGCTTTTTATCAACTCAAATTCAGATTTAAGGCTCAGCAGCACAACACAGCCTTATAGTCATGCAACCGTTACCCATCTTGTCTACTCCTACTTGTTCAGTTATAAAATTACTGAATTCACCTTGGCCTGTCACAATAAATTGTCCCAGAAGTTACTGCGATAAGCAATAATGTTGAGACCATTTTCAAGTGATGTAATGAAGATTTAACACTGGAACTGGAAGACATTTTAAATATCCAAAATAAAAGAACGACAACAAAATAGTCCTTCCAAAAAGGGGCTGGTTGAGACCGAAACACCAGACTGAAGATTTTTGCCATCCAGTTTTTGGTAGGAAGAAATGGAGAAAAGAGAAAAGCAAACTGTGCAATTGGAAATTGAGCTTGTTTTAATTCATCACTGATTTATTGCTCATTGTAAAAGGCCTAGGTTCATGCCAGCTTGAGCAATACGTCAGGTTTACCACTTTCTGCATCGAGAAACAACGCAGAACATCAACTATACTTTTTTTGTTTGCTCTCAGGATAAAAGCAGAACCAGTTGGTGGACCGTTTTGCTGGATCTGAGTTTCTATTTGGCTTTAATTTGACTAAACCAGTTCACACACACAGAGAGAAGCCTTTCTGAAAGGAAGCAGAATCTCAGCTGTTAACATGACTGAGTTTGAAGCTTCAGCACCAACTTCCCACCACAACTTCAACCCTGCTAAAAAGAAACAAAGTGGGATGTTGGGAAATATGATGTAAAACATCCGTCATACTGAAACTAACACCACCCATCACTCTGATTAAGGCAACGCTGCTTTAACCCCTCAATGCCCAAATTTATATGCAATTTTACAAAAAAAAAAAAAAAAAAAGACTTTTGCTTTCTCTGTCAGATATGAAATTAAAGATCATTAATTTGAATATTCCACCCACTATTGGTGTAAATTCAAATAAATCTGAATGCTGCAGTATTTAGTTATAATCTTGTACAGTATATAATTACTATAACAGTCAATCTTTTTTATGTTAAAACTTTTGGTACTTTGTGTGAATCTGACGTTGTCGTTACACCTGAATTTCCCACCTGGGAACCAATAAAAACCGTTTCTATTTTATACTAAAACCTATCTGGTGTCAGTGGTACCAACATACTTATGTTCTTTTCATTCTGCCTGCGTTTCAAATACAGCTAAATACTGAAAAATCCCTTTACCATACTGTATTAGAAGCTTTTATCTCATGATAAAACAAATGCTGCATTAAGATATTCATGTAAATATTTATGAATAAATCACTTATTTTGTATATTGTTATAATCCTTTGACTCAAATACACAGAATTTACTATTCTACAGATTACTTCTTAATGCTTGTTTGTATCCGACTTGCTTGTATTTGCAAAGTGAAGCAGCCATTTTCTGCTGCAGTTATTTCAGAGGTTTGGAACAGGAAGGTTAAAAATGCGTCGGTATTAAATTAGCCACTATGCCGTCTGGCTGGAAAAGCTTTATTTCCTTGGGAGAAATAATTTACTGAACTTCTGCGCATTCTTGCTTGAACTGCAAGATGGAGTTAAAATTAAACTACTTAAATGCTTAAATGTAGCAGAACAAAATCTTTAACCAGTGAAATGTGGGAAAAGTGCTTTACAAAGGTCAAGATACAATCACAAATCTAGAATCGTTCAACAGTATAAATGTGCAATAATTTATAGAAGCTAAACTAGAAGAGAAGCAAGATTTTGGTTTTTGCACAGACTAACCTCAGGGATTTTCATTTTGTTTGACATTTGAGAAAGCATACTTGTATTTTCTATGAATCACATTCAGTCTTACAAAAAGCTGAAGCTTCAGATTGAAAAAAAACCCCCAGAGGAAATCAAAAGGTTTTAAAGTGACTGGAGTTTGAGCAATAATCAAAGCTTAGAAGTAGCAACAAAGAGGATTTCTGTTCTGCATATTAAATGGACCAATTCTCAGTAAAAACCCTGACAAATGAA